CTTATACTTCTTAATTGCTGTTATTCCACGCGTTTCTAACAGAACTAATGATTGGATTGGTCATGGTAAAAATTGGGGAGTTTGGCAAATCTAATGGGATTTTTTAAGGACTTGGATCAATTTTATGCTAAAGCTTTTTTCTTGTGTACAATTGTCCTGTTTTTTGTCCTTGACTTTGGCTTGAGTACATAGTTTATTAACTGCTTTAGAAAGAAGCATTGTATGCTCTAGCTTTGCTTCAGCTCTGTTTGTTATGATTTGTGGGTTCTCATTATAATGAATCAGTGGCAAACTGGCATTTTTTTTTTGGTTTCATTTTTCCAAAAGGAAATTTATGTCATTGCTATGGCTTCGCTCTGCAGTATTTTTTTTATGAGTATTTGTTCGATGAGAATTTTTTGCTTGGCACTGCAGTATTCGAGTCATCAGAAAAGAATGCTTGTGGAAGATCTGAACAGAAAATGGAAACGAGTTATATTAAGCACATCGGTACTTCTGCTCACACTCTTTCGTCCATTTAAAAGTATTTTCAGGTGAGATTTTCACTTGTAGTCAAGCCGGTAAATGATTCATGTTGTGTCATTTTCCATTCAGGCAACAACAGCTGTAGAACACTGTGAGTGGCTGAACAAGATGTTGCTGGAAATTTGGGCGAATTATTTCAACCCACGGCTTTCTACAAGGTTCTCATACATAGTGGAGGTTAGATTTTTCCCCTTGTCACGTATACTGATGAAGTAGTTGCTGTTATTCATAGTTTTCTTAAGCTTCCTCTGCACCCTTCGGCTTATTAGTAGTGTCACATTTTGGTGCAGATGTGGTTGGTGAATTTGGTGTTTTTCTCTTAATGATTATAATTAGATCAATCTAAGTAGTTTCTTTTTTACCCTTTCTTGTAAGCAGAGACTATTAAAGGAGCGGAAACCCAAGCTCATAGTAAGTTACATGAATATCTCTCATTTGCTAGAGTTAAATTATATGAATATTATCATGGAAGTTGTTGTTATAAGTTCTCTTACCAGGAAGCACTACTCTTGTTATGCAGGAATGGGTTGAACTGCAGGAGTTTTCTCTAGGCTCATCCCCACCTAGCTTGGGCCTTAGTGGGAGTCGCTGGGCAACTGCAGGTGACCAGGTATGGCTTTGAATCTCTCTCTTTCCTTGTCCTCTCTGTTAATGTTAGCTTAAGGTGTCTAGCTGTTGCAGTCGATAATTAGCTATATGTATGTTAGATTGTGGATAAGCAGCTTTTGAGCACAATGTAAATTATCATGTCATTATCTTCTTTAGGTTCTAATAACTGAAAAGAGTAATTTGGTAGCTAAATATCTCATTTCCAATAGTCAGCACAAATGTGCTTAGATTCCTACCAGCGGCATGAGTTTCGGGTCTCTCTTAAACAAAACTCTTTTCCCTCTTGCTATTTCTGTTAAAGCTTGCATTATACATGTTTTTCATAACTTGATAGGATTTCATTTTTTGACGCGTTGACAGCGAGTGATGCACATGAGTTTTGATTGGGACACCTGTGACATGAGCATCATGCTATTGGCTAAGTTGGCCAAGCCATTAGGAACTGCTCGGATTGTTATTAACAGCCTGCAGATCAAGGGTGATGTACGTGAATTTTAGCATATTTGGTTTGTTGCGGGTGTACTATGTTCTGCTGGAAATACTGTCTCTTTGTATGTTTCTTGCTTTTATTGGTCAGTTGTGTGCTTTTCTATTTATTGACTTTGGCCTATGCCATTTTCCCTATGGTTTTCATTATATAGCTTCTCTTGATGCCAATTTTGGAAGGGAGAGCAGTTCTCTACTCTTTTGTGTCGACTCCTGAAGTAAGAATAGGAGTCGCCTTTGGAAGTGGTGGAAGCCAATCTCTACCTGCCACTGAGCTTCCTGGCGTTTCTTCTTGGTTGGTATGTCTCTCACAATACTAATATCTATGCTCTCTCAAATAACTGAAAGTTTTGGTATTATGGTTTGCTCTATAATCCTCTAGAACCTCAACTTTATTCTTCGTGCTCTAAGTCTCTATTTGTCTTTGGATATAGGTCAAACTTTGCTCTGACACCTTAGATAAAACAATGGTTGAGCCTCGACGTCGGTGTTTCTCTTTACCGGCTGTAGACTTGAGAAAGAAGGTTGTTGGTGGGATTGTACATGTGACGGTTGTTTCAGCTAGTAAACTTTCTAGGGCTAGTTTCAAGGGAAGTCCAACAAGAAAGCAGCAACAGAGTTCAGAAGATGGTGTTGATGATAATGATTTGCAGACTTTTGTGGAAGTCGAGCTTGGTCAGTTAACAAGGAAGACAAATGCAAGACCAGGCTCAAGTCCCAAATGGAATTCAACTTTCAACATGGTGCTACATGAAGAAACTGGAATCTTGCGGTTCAATCTTTGCAACTGTAACCCCGATAGTGTGAAGTATGACTACCTATCAAGTTGTGAGATCAAGGTAGATTCCATACTTATGGTTGATGTGTTTCACAGGGTACAGCATGAGGTCATAGCTGTTGCATTTGTGAAGTATTGTTATTTCTATATAATAATTAATCATGCTTCTATTTCCTTTCTGTCAACGACATTACTTGGGAAAAAAGCAAATTAAGGATCTGCCACAGATATGCAAGAAATGAAATTACTACATGTCATTATCGATTTCGCTCCTAGTATATCTTGATAAACATATTATTCGATTTTAAGTAACTCTCTGCTCTAATTACTAGGGGTCATAGTCTCTACTGTTAATATCAGTTATATATTCTTCCTCTCTTCTTTATCTTCGATTTTGCCCTTTTTGAGCAGATGAAGTATGTTGCAGACGATTCAACAGTTTTCTGGGCAATAGGGCCAGACTCAAGTATAATAGCGAAGCATGCCGAGTTCAGTGGAAGAGAAGTTGAATTGATTGTTCCATTAGAAGGGCCAAACTCTGGGGAGGTCCATATGCTGCAAACCTTCTTTAGCTATCTCATCGTGTATTTTATCATCTGATGCTTTTCACTTGTTCATTTCTGCAGTTGGCGGTGAAGCTTGTGGTAAAAGAATGGCAATTCTCGGACGGTACGCACAGCCTGAACAAGTACAAAAGCAGCTCTCGACAATCTGTGGATGGATCATCTATTCTTCCTTCAAGAACAGGACGGAAGATCAATGTAACTGTTGTGGAAGGACAAGATCTAACTGTCAAAGAAAGATCGGGCAAGTTTAACCCATATGTCAAGTTGCAGTATGGAAAGGTATGAAGTTACTCATATGAATACCTTGTATTGTATATGTAAATAGGCTTAATTGCTATGGTTTCTGAAATTTTTACCTCGGGCAACCTTCTTGCTTTCTTCAGGCAGTCCAGAAGACCAAGACTTCACAATTTCCCAATCCTATCTGGAACCAAAAGTTTGAATTTGAAGAGATTGGAGGGGATGAGTACCTTAAGATCAAATGCTATACCGAAGAAGTGTTTGGGGATGAAAGCATTGGTAGTGCAAGAGTAAATTTGGAAGCTTTAGTTGAGGGTTCGATAAGGGATGCATGGATTCCTCTGGAGAAAGTAACCTCAGGAGAACTGCGGCTTCAGATAGAAGCAGTGAAAGTGGATGAGGATGATGGATCAAAGGTGCATATATTAAGTTTTTTGGATTCAAGCTCTCAACTTTCTTGAAGTCAAGTGATATAATTTCTCTGGTGTTTTCCCAGAGCATGACTTCAAGTTCACCTATTGGCTGGATTGAACTTGAAATTATTGAAGGGAGGGATCTTATTGCTGCCGATCTTAGAGGAACAAGTGATCCATACGTTAGGGTGCAATATGGAAACTTGAAGAGGCGAACAAAGGTGAGCTGACATAATATGTTGAGGAGCTTTGAATTTCATTTCTGAGATGTAAAATTTACAAAGATGGGTTCCCTTTCTCTCGTTCCCACTCACCAACTTCAGTAGCATATTCACCTACTATAATTTTTCCCTTTCTAAAGGTAGTCTTCAAAACTCTCACTCCACAATGGAACCAGATGTTAGAGTTTCCGGACGATGGCAGTCCCTTGGAATTGCATGTCAAAGACCATAATGCGTTGCTACCTGGATCCAGTATAGGTGACTGTGTTGTAGAGTACCAAAGGTTGCCCCCAAACCAAACATCCGACAAGTGGATACCTCTGCAAGGTGTGAAAAGAGGCGAGATACACGTTCGAGTCACCAGGCGAGTCCCTGAACAACCAAAGAGAACTAGCTCAGATTCTGAAGGCTATTTGAGTAACTCCCATAAACTTACAGGCCAGGTAAACAAAATCAGGCAATTACTTACAGTTTCTTCGTTGTTCGCACTTTTGCTCATTCCATGTGTTTGCTATTGATCAGTTGAAGCAGATGATGTCAAAGCTCCGATCTTCTGTTGAAGGTGGGAATCTCGATACTGTTTCATTAGCTTTGAGTGAGATGGAAAGTGTAGCAGAGACCCAAGAAGAGTACATGGTACAGCTCGAGACCGAGCAAATGCTTCTTCTTAACAAGATAAAAGAGCTTGGTGAAGAAATCCTTTATGCTCCACCAGTCTTGGAAAGAAGATCATCTGCTGCAATATAACATTCCCTACGTTTCCCCCATTATACAGGCTATCATAAGATTTGAGAAAAGGCCATCGGTACAAGTAAACTTTAGATATTGAAATAGCTGATTTGTATCAAACCAGTAGCAGTACAGTGATTAAATATATGAACTCTAAACATTGTTGCTTTTGGCGGGAATGATATCATATCACCATTAATTTATGTTTCCTTTCTAGTTTGACGTGCCTAAGTATCAGGCAACCTTAGGTTAGGTTGAAGACTTGAAGTGGAATTGAAGCTTAATTGAAAGACATTGGAAACTATGGTGACCGAGTGAGAACCAAAGCAAAGTTCGCTGATTGAGTATCGACTTTTTCCAACAGGAAAGAAAAGGGAAAAGGGAAAAAGAATAACAATATCTGTAGTAGTAGACGTTAATCACGTTATCCGTCTACGCCAACTGAAGCAGATTCCTCCCGCACAGCCACAGCCACAGTCTTCACTCCCGGAAGACTTCCGCCTGGCAGTGTTCATCCCAACTTTCCTTCCATTTTTCCTGCATTCCAAACAGGTTAAGAATCTCAAATGCTAAAATCGCCATAGCTGGGTATTTTTCAATTTCGTTCAAAGTCATGAGCTTTGCGACTGCTAAATTATCAGAGCTCCCACTCAGAGGCCACTCCTCTTTCTTCCCAAAACCCTCATTTCGGGAATTCCGAAACCCCTTCTGCTCCTCGTTGCGAACCAACAAGTACGTCAGAACCCAAAACCCGAAATCGAGAAACTCCAATTCCCCAAATTCTACCTGGTTGTCCAAGTGGCCTCCGAAGGGGAATTCGGTTAGGGGTTCTCCCAAGAAAGAGGTAAGTCGGCCTGTGAATGAGGAGAAGGCTCGGTATTTGGCGAGGGATAAAGGGGATACTGCAATTGAGAGAATCGTACTTCGCTTGAGAAATTTGGGTTTGGGAGCGGAAGACGAGGACGGAGAAGAAGGGAGGGAGGAGACCGGGATTCTGACCGCCGAGTTGCCGCCAGTTAATGGGGAGGAGAGGCTGGCGGATCTTTTGAAGCGGGAGTGGATTAGGCCTGATACTATTTTGGACGAGGATGATGGTAGTGACGATGAAATGGCGTTGCCGTGGGAGAGAGAAGAGAAAGAGAGGGAGATGCAGGGAAGAGAGGAAGATGGAGGGATGGAAAGGAAGAGGAGGCCAAAGGCTCCGACTTTGGCGGAATTGACGATTGAGGATGAAGAATTGAGAAGGCTGAGGAAGATGGGAATGACTTTGAGAGAGAGGATCAATGTGCCAAAAGCTGGGATCACCCAGGAAGTTTTGGAGAAGATTCATGATAAATGGCGTAAAGCTGAGCTGGTTAGGCTCAAGTTCCACGAGTTTCTCGCCCATGACATGAAAACTGGCCACGAGATTGTCGAGGTTGGTGGTTTTTGTCTCAGTTTTCTTTAGCTTTGTTCTTGATGGCCTTAGATAATGTGAACCACTGTAGTGACTAACTATTATGTAAAAGGTGTTATGCGCTTAGTTTAGATTCAGGAATTTGATAACTATGGCTAACTGCTTGTATTGATCATCAGCGTCGCACTGGAGGGTTAGTTTTATGGAGGGCAGGAAGTGTTATGATTGTTTACCGAGGCGCTAACTACCAAGGTCCGAAATCTCCGGAATCTGCTAGGCAAGAAGGGGAATCACCATTCATTCCAGATGTGTCATCTGCTGATTCATCCTCATTCAAAAGTGATGACTCCGCATTGTCAGATTCAGAGAAGTCTGTACTACCAGTTGTGAGACTTCCACAACAGACCGAGACCTTGACCGAGCAGGAAATCGAATATAACCAACTCTTGGATGGATTAGGGCCCCGTTATGAGGCGTGGTGGGGCACTGGAGTTCTTCCTGTGGATGCTGATTTGCTTCCACCTAAAGTTCCTGGTTACATGACGCCTTTTAGGTGTCTTCCTACTGGAATGCGGCCTCGACTTACTAATGCTGAGATGACTAATTTGAGGAAACTTGCTAAATCACTTCCCTGCCATTTTGCCCTTGGTAATAATTTATCTGTCTTACTTGAATTCCTGAATTTTCAGATGTTTAGTTCATTTACTGACTTTTGGCGCTTGTTCTTCACTTTGACCAGGGAGGAACAGAAACCATCAAGGGTTGGCAGTTGCTATACTCAAACTTTGGGAGCAAAGCCTAATTGTGAAAATTGCCGTGAAGCGAGGGATACAGAATACGAATAACAAGCTAATGGCTGAGGAAATAAACGTGAGTTATAAGCCTTATGTTTTTCCTCTCTCGGAAGGGTAGGGAGGAAAAAATGAAGTTGCTCCAATAGTCGTCAACCTAGGTTTCATATAGTTGGATGCATGTTATGAATTTTACATTATGAGTTTATGACTGTGCGACGTTTGAGAAATTTGAACTCAACATAATGAATAGTAGAGTGTTCATGATAATAGATTTTCGAATGTGGACATTTCATTGTGTTTGCTGATTCTTGTTGGCTTTGAGTTATGCCTCTGTACAAGTTGTTTCCTTCTATACAAAGGTCTCATGGCTGTTTTACATTGGTTACCACAATCTATTTTGTTTCTGTCACAAATATTCCCAAGATTCATATATCATGCTGGTTATGGATGTTCTCAAGAAAAGAAAGGAGAAGATATATGTACAGGTTAACCAACTAATGATGGAATTATTATTGATGGTTTCTCTACCCTTGCAGCAATTAACAGGAGGTGTCCTGTTGCTCAGAAACAAATATTATATTGTCATTTTCCGTGGGAAGGATTTCCTGCCTGCAAGTGTAGCTGCACAATTAGCTGATAGGCAAGAAATAACCAAACAAATTCAAGACAACGAAGAGAAATTAAGAAGCAATCTAGAGATAGCATCATCAGGTATAGAAGGTGAAGGAAATGCACTTGCAGGGACCTTGGCGGAGTTTTATGAAGCACAAGCTCGATGGGGAAGAGATACATCTGCAGAAGAACGTGAAAAGATGGTTGAAGAAGCTGCCAAAGCTAAAACTGCTAGGCTCGTCAGAAAAATCGAGCATAAGCTAGCTAAAGTAAGTATATGATATCTTCTGCATTGTCTCATGAGATAACTACACTTTACTCATGATTGTGATAATCAAGGAAAGTTAAATATAGTAGGAGGTGCAAAGTTTTTGTCATACCTGTTTACAGGAAAGACAGATAACACAAGACATAATACTTTCTGGTCCAAGCACAACATGTTAATCTTCTTTTTTATTGTGATTTCCTATTATTTACCTGTTCAGTTCATTTGCATGACTTTGTTTAACCATGAATTTCCGTACAGGCTAACAGCAAGAAGCTTAGAGCAGAGAAACTATTATCAAAGATAGAGGCCTCGATGGTTCCCGCTGATCCAGATTATGACAGAGAAGCGATCACTGATGAGGAAAGGATTGTGTTCCGGAAAATTGGGTTGAGAATGAAGCCATACTTACCTATGGGTAAGTCGTACTCAGAAGCTTATTTGGTGAACTTCAAATGGCAGAGCATATAATTTCTGTACATTAATATGGCAGGGATCCGTGGTGTTTTTGATGGAGTTATTGAAAACATGCATTTGCATTGGAAGTATAGAGAGGTTGTGAAGCTAATAACCAAACAAAAGACGATGGCATTTGTTGAAGATACAGCTAGACTGCTGGAATACGAGAGTGGTGGGATACTGGTGGCAATAGAAAGAGTACCAAAAGGTTATGCTCTCATTTACTACCGTGGGAAGAATTACCGCCGTCCCATTAGCTTGAGACCAAGAAATCTTTTAACAAAAGCAAAGGCATTGAAGCGTTTTGTAGCAATGCAACGCCATGAGGTTCTATCTTCAACATAATCTTTTTCTTGTTGTTGGTCATATTAAGGAACCTTGGCAAATAATTCTAGTGTGCCAAATGATGCAGGCTCTCAGTCAGCACATATATGAACTGGAGCACACAATAAAACAATTGAAAGCCGAAATTGTAAGTACCCCTTGGGCCTTGTCTTCTCCGGGCCTTTTCCATCGCAAACATCACATTTTCTTCTCCTGCTAAAAGCAAAAAAGAAAAACTAAGCTGACTTGTATCATTTTGTTTAATCTCTTGCAGGGTTTATCTGAGGATGATAGTTCTGATGATTGGAGCTCAGGTGCACCGCGATTGGTAGATTCTAATTCAGACTTCACTGAAGTGAGACACTGGCCTCCCTGTTGTGTTCTTTTTTCTTATATATAATCTCTCTCCCTGTTGTGTTGATGTTTTAATCACCAGTACTCTAACCGTAGGGGTGTCTATCTTGTTGAGACCTGAGATGACATAATAAAGTGGGGAGGGGAAAGAAAAAGAGGATTTACTAACTTCTGGATTACCCAAAGCAGTGCAGTTTCTCATATTTCTGGAAATTAGTATATACCTCTGTCTGATTACAGGATTGGATCTAGGCTTGAGCATTTGATATTTAGTACTTGCAAAAAAATTACCTGTTTCAAATTGCTGTGGATTCTCTTTTATAACAAGATTTTCTGTGGATATTCAGGGAGAGGATGATGCTTCATATATAGCATCTGATGAGGATGGTAGCAATAATGACGAGGAAGAAGAGGAGGACCTTGATTGGGAAGATGAAGATTTTGAGTCTTCGGACTCTGAGAATAGTGACATTCTTTTAACACATAATGTTTAACAAGCTCATCAAAATCTGTCTCTTAAGCAAGTGAATGTGTCCTTCCCAATGTTCATCTGCATATGCAGGTATTCACTTTTGTGGCATGCTTGTGTTGAACTTGAATCTACTTCTTGCATTAATTGGGGAGTGTCTGTTTGCCTGAATGAGCATATTTCCATTCCCTCATCTACTGAATTTTATTTGTTCCAAAACTAAATAGTGCACTTCCAGTAACATGGTATGTTTTCACGTGTTAGGATTGATATACACATTCTAAGCCTTCCATGGACAGAGTTACTGAGAAGCATATTCTGGAAATGAAGCTCCAGCTATGGCATAGCAATGGATTCTGGTGAAGTTCCTGCGAGTGGCGAAGGGAGTTGATTGTTCGGACTTCTAACCTCGAGACAAATTCTAGGATGGAGAAGGTGGTGCTTGTAACATAGCTAAGGCAAATGGCCATCGGACACTTCAGTTGCTGGGTTTAGTTTGTTTGGAAATTTGTATGGCATATGTTGAACATACAAAACAAGATACGGAGAATATGCAAAATTTTGCAGCTTGTTATGTGATTTTGAGGGGTTCTGCTCATGTATTTGATACTATGATGTCATTCATTTCCAGTTTCCTGTTGTAAAATGTAATTCAATGTAAGGTTCATCGATAGTGTTATGTTAGGGTTGTCCCAAGGCATCCACTGTTACATCTTTCCCCCCTTAAACAACTAACACAATTTAGCACCTGAGCCATACAGGTATGTTTATGATAATAAATTCCAAACTAATTACGGTAGGATAAATGAATAGCCTATGATGATACTCATCATTTGGTAGGTTTAACATTCTGACATTCTCGGGCCATATTGGCTTTGGCCTTTGGTATACAAGTAGCTAAGTACAAAATCCGTAGATCACATAACAACAACAAATTGGACTAGCTAGCACTCATTTGTTTTGATGCACTCTAAAAGTAGAGATGAGACATTAAAGTTTGAACTATAATTGGTACGATTGGTATAATATGATAATATAGCATAAGATCACAACTAATCAATGCATTATTCTAAATCCTAGAACTTCAATCTGAATCCCAACACTAAACTCCAAATTGTAAACTCTAACCCTAAATCATTCAAATCAAACTAAACCTTGAATGATTCTTGTGCAAATTAATGCATTTTCTTGTCATCGTATCATAAGTGACTGTTGACATCGTTTTGACATATCACCTACTCAAAATGACGATTCAATGCATCCAAAAAGTAACTGCACCGAAGACAAACCCCATAAGAGTATATATGATTCGAGTTTAGTCCTTTTAACCACCATCTCTATTCACTTTTGTTTTGAAGACACTAGATTCAAACCAACCAATTTTCTTTTAACCTAGTGGTTTATTTATGATTGGGTGGGCCGTGTAGATAATATTTTCTTAGTGAAAATCCAACTCAATATTGAAAAAGTGAAACTATTATGCACCGTAACAATAAAATTCATTTTTTGTCCGCGCTTTGCAACGGTAAAATAAACAAATTATATTTAAAAGTTCATCTACTTATTTAATAATTCATATGAAATCAAATAATTCATAAAATTATTAGAGTAGGATTGCTACATAAGTTTTATGTAATGTCTTAATCATTATACCATACGTTTGTTTAAGTGATATAGAAAAGATAATTATAATTCACTAAACATTACAGTATCTCATGACTAAATTGTTACGTAAAATAATAATTTACCTTCAAGAATATTTGTGTATTCCAAATTGATGAGATTATTAAAAATTTAGATGATAATAAACGAATTTAATTCAAACTTAAATATCGAATCATTTTAGTCATTGTTTAAGTGATACATAAGAAATAACTACCCTTACATAAGTTTTATATAACTTATTTGTAATTATGTAACTACCATCTTACTGTACGATCTAATAAAAAGATCAAGTTAACAAAAATATAAATTTGTAAACTGTTATGTAAGAAATCATTGACCATATAAAAACTATGTCTAATGCAAATAATAAAAACCTTATAGTAACTTCTAGAGCTTTATATAATATACTAGAAAAACACCAACGCTTTGATGTGGATAGTGGGAGATAGGCTGCGATTTACATTAATAGCGGTTCTATTTTGTATTTACCAGTGTTGTTAAAGCCGAGCCGAGCCGGTCGGTCGGACCGGTAAAACCGACACCCGGACACTAGCCCGGCTCGGAACACTCTAAAAGCCACAGCGGTCAGAAAAGGCGGTTGGTAAGCGGTCTGAACGACTAACCGTTCGAACCATTCAAACCAACTAACCAGTTCTTATTCCAACCGTCTAATTAAAGGAACACAGGGGACGCGCGTGGGGTTGGGAAATTGCACTCATCAATTCCTTCTCTTTTCCCGACTCAAAGCCCAAGGGCCAACTCTTCCTGTTGGAAGCTGTGTAACAATAAATTATTAGTGCTTTTTTGTTGTTGTTTCTAATTGTAATTATTAAATTACTAGGGCTTCACAGACCAACTCTTCTTTCTTGAATATTTGTTAAACATTAAGATACGTGAAGATTAATAATGTTAGATGGATTATGTGTAGAATTTTTGATTTTAGGTCTTAAGAGAAATTCACATATTTGGATAGTTTATGTGAGATTTTAGACTTAAGAAGTTTTAGTGCATTTGTTTTAAATTTGTTTAAAAATAATGCAAGTGTGTGGTACTTATAATACTTGTTCACGTACGAGGCATCGGTTTGTTATCGGTTTTTCAACGGTTTAATATCGGTTAAACCAATAAAGTGCGAACCGTTCACTATAACGGTTCATACTCCGGTTCGGTTCTGACAACATTGGTATTTACATTAAATTTTTCTTGATAGTGCATTCTTATCATCATTCAAAATTAGACAAAAAAATTATAACAATAATTAGATCATATCGAAAGATGGTATTCAACGGAAAAAGAAGAGAGCATTAGTGGGATTTTCATGCCCAGGGCTAGTAAATTGTTATCTCGTTGACGGTGTAACCGGTAACCGAACCAAAACCGATAGTTAACGGTAATACCGATAATCGATTAAACAGTAAACAGTCGGTTCTCAATAGTAAAATTTATCTATTTACTAATTGACGGTTAAACAGTTAACCGCTATTAGATTATGACCATCCTCATAATTAGGATAGAAAATAATAGGTCTCGATGAACCACATGCATACTTGCATAGGCCAAAAATAATAGGGATTCTTGAAAGCCTATAAGATCCATTGCCTACCCTAGTTGTAATACTGGCTTAGCTAGGTTTATTGGAGACTAATTTTAAGGATGGACTTTAAAAGGAACAAAGTAGAAACTTGGCCTTACGGACAATAGCTTGTCAACAATTAGTAGCATTTAAACTTCCATGTAATTTGATGGAGTTTATGAGTTGAGTAATTGTAGTTGTGCGTCTTATTCTTGTATGCTTGTTTAATCAAATTTGACAGTAGAATTGTGTTTTGTGTACTTGTGTTGGATTGAGTTCATTATAGGTTTATATCTATGTTAAATGATTTTTTAGTTAATGATGACAACTTAAAATAAGAACACATACGTAGATATGTAGGAAAAAATCTACAAAAATGCATTGAGAAAAAGGGAGATCCTCTGTTTGTTAGGTTATTGATAAGTTATTTTGGTATAACCTTGCTAAATCTCGTGCTTTAACAGTTATCAGAACCGACAAAATAATCAAAATCAATCAAATATTTCTGGTTATAACCGAACCAATCGATTGCTAGCATTAAGTCTGGTTTCCTTCAATAATTAACCTAAATTACACATTTGGTCACTCTAATTATACAAATCTTTCATGTTTGCCACCTGAATTACTTTTCTTTCTTATTTGCCACTAACTTTACGAATTGTTTCATCATTAGTCACCGGCCGTTAGACTCCGTTAAATTTGTCCTACGTGGCAGTTAATTATAAAGGTTGACAGTTAACTAGATGACGTAGAAAATAAAAAAATAAAAAATAAATTTATTTGTCCACCTCATATTCCACTTAGATTTATCATATTAATTATTTAATATAAATTAATTAAATTAAAAAAATAAATAATATGATTAATTTATTCACATATAGTTCTGGGGTTGGTTTACTCGAGGAGATCGGCGGCAGTGTGGCGGTGGCCTGGTCGTAGAAGATGGTCCATAATAAATTCCTTCCCTTGTGCTCCGATGAAACATCCTAACCCGACCGGGTACTACTTTTACTAAAATGTCATTGATAAATAAAATACTCAAATCTTAAATTGCAACTGGGAAAAATTTTCATAAATAAAATACTGAAAACACACACTTTTACTAGCAAAGCCCTAACATGTGGGCAAATTAAACTCAACCTTTAAAATCTCAATCTGATATCAAAATAATCTCCAGTCTGTACTCATAATCATAAATGTAATTAACTAATAACCTCTGAAGTTGTTGCTACTGAAAACCTTGACTAAGCATCCTCCGTGACGCTTGTACTGCTCTCCTCTAGTTGGCTGCCCTCGAACTCGCTGCTCACTAACTGCTCTTCTAGTTCCTCAAACTGGTGAGTGAGATGGGGTCAGTCTACGCCCTTACGTTTGAATACTTCTAATACTTGAGTACTTTACTTAAACACTTAACTTTGACTAGTGGAAGTTGTTTGTACTTCCATTCTTAAAAATCTTAACTCTTAAAACTGTATGGGAGTAACTGTTACTCTCCATTCTCAAAGCTTAAATCTCACTTAAATACTTGACTGACATTGGGATCCCTCACTAGCTAGTCCGGTTGCCAACTCATACGTATGAGAAGCCATTCAGGCTTTCCTTAAACTTAAACTTAGTTAGGGAAGTCGTAACGATTCATCCCCCTAACATCTTAAACTTATCGTGGTGGCTCTTCACCACGATTCTCAAGGGCATAACTGCTGCCCATCTTAAAAGTCTCAAGAGCATAACTGCTGCTCTGTCTCAAGGATCTCAAGAGCATAACTGCTGCTCTATCTGAAAATCTCAAATGGCAACGGACTGGCACTAGTGACTAAAAACACTTAAAACGACTTCACATTCTTGAAGGTGAGTTACTTCTTAAAAAGGACTTGCTTCATAACTTCAACAATAACTTATAAACTTAAAGCTTAAATTTAAATAAAACTCATGCATAGTCACATCAAGCATGACTCAAACAAAATCACATATCATCAACCATAAGCACAATCAAACAACGACATTCACTTCATCAAATACTCAAAACTTGTAACTCTTGAAAGAACACGTAAGGCGTAGAATTTACCCCTTTACACTCACCTCAAAATAACGACATTGATAGACCGACACGACCTCTCTTCACCTTCGGTTGACTTGAATGTACCATCGTCCAAACTGGATTATAGCTCTTGCCTCTCATTTTCATCCTCAAAATAACCACGTTAACTGGCCTAGTCAAAACAACCCAAAGCACCATCCATGATTTCGTTAATTTTGAGCTTATGTTTAGCCATGAATTCCACCACTCCTTAACACGTACCCAAATTAATTACAACCCCATCTCCATTTCACAATTCTTCCAATTGAGTCATGCACCCATAACCACACTTGTCCGAACATCAGCTAGCTAACTACTTCTTTAGAGCCCACATGTCCATTGCTAATCAAATTTGATTCAAACCCACCTAACAATGTATCCATGTATCCACGTACCCAACTATTGTCCTAAGTTTATTGGCCAAGAGTGATTAGTACTAATCCAAATAGGTTCTTCTCTCGTTCTACAATCACCCATGCATGCACAACCAGAGAAGTTTTAAATG